CTGAATAATTTTGAATTTTTTCAATTTTTAAAAAAGTTGAAATGTTGCCTTTGAAATCTGAACTTTGAAACGGATGGATCAAGGTCAGTTTAACATATTAAATTTATGGGGGGAGTGACGGGCTCCTCACTGCGCGGCGCTGGTAGGTCGGGGCGCCGTTAAGTTGGCAGCGCGCACCGCCCATCTGCAAAGCGATGGCTGCGGGGCGGGTACCGCCGGGGCGGGTGTTGGGGCGGGTGTTTGGGTGGGCACCGGGCGAGGGTCCGGGGAGGGGTGGGAGTGGGTAGTGGGTGCCTTGGTTGGTGTTTTAGGGCGGGTGTAAACACGAGTGTTAGGGGAAGTGTTAGGGTGGGTTTTACCACGAGTGTTAGGGTGAGTGTTAGGGCGAGTGTTAGGGCGAGTGTTAGGGCAGGTGATTGGGTGGGTACCGGGCAGGGGCGGGGTGTTGGGGAGTAAGGTGTAAGGTCTACTGCACCTTATCGGGGAGGTGCGGGTGCTGGGTGGGTGTTACGGCAGGTGTTATGGCGAGTGTTTACACTGGTAAAACATAATGCATTATTTAAACACCAACGTGTGGAAGTTATGATTCTGAACATGGTGTTTAGCTCAAGTCGCACACTTGCGTGGTGTGCATATTTTAAACGTTTTGCAAACGTTTAGATTCCGCACACTGACACACACAAATCTGTAGGAACCAGATGGTGTAGAGCTGCTATACTTTTCGGAAGTGTCGAAAGTTTAAGCACCAACTGACGTTTAACCTACCCTAGTAACACAAGACTGTCGCACATAGTGTGATTTTTATCTATCGTCCAATTATTGTGACAATAACGAAAATCCAAAAGTGGTGGCTTTTCCATAGTCAGACGATTGTCGCTGGTCTATCAAATTTGAACCATCTACAATTCTGTGGTATTTTTATCGATTCCTGGTCGAATCCACAACAGTGGTTTTTCGCTTCCATTACGATAGCTGGCCGTTAACGATTTTCGTTTCGAGGAAAAAAGATGGTATACCGATAGAATCATTTTTCTCATTTCGTATATCGCACCGATAGTTCGTATCTTTTTTCAACTGTTGTCCGACTGTCGTACGACAGTTATGTGTTACCAGGGTAGATAAACATCACAATGTGTTCAATTGGCGTCCAACGTTGAACACAAGGGGGCAATAACTCCGAATTCAAGTGCACACATGATTCCCGAAATCCGTGGTTCCCGTTGATTCCCACTGATTGCCGGGCCGGTGTGAACGCATGATTCCCAGAGTTATTGCCCCCTCCATTGAACACTTGTTTTACCAGTGTAATGGCAATAGTGTTGGGGTGGGTGTGCGGGCGAATGCCGGGTCCGTGGTGGGTGCTGTGGCAGGTCGTGCCTGACCTCTCGCTCGCAACCACAAGTTTGTCGTTTCTCTCGAAATTCTTTTGCATCGCATTTTTCTTGCCAAATCTTTAGGGAGGGGTCGTGGTGCACACAGCTATACACTATGTGCGAGGGGAAGGGGATACCGGTGACGAACAACTATGAGG